TGAACTATATTTCAACGTTTTTTGATGGTTCTGAGCCACCAAACACACTTAAAGCATGCAGAATCGACTCAGAATAGGAAAAGGAGACGTTTAGGTCAATTTTATGCATTCTGGCGTTCGTAGATACAAGAAAACTGTTAAAATTCTTCAGAAACGTCACTTTTGAAGTGTTTTCTTGTACTTTTAAGCCAATCAGATATCCTACGGGCTCGGAAAGTGCAACGAAACCATCAAATTTTAGCTAGAAACTGTATTTTTGTCGATTTTTATTGAATTTGAACTATATTTCAACGTTTTTTGATGGTTCTGAGCCACCAAACACACTTAAAGCATGCAGAATCGACTCAGAATAGGAAAAGGAGACGTTTAGGTCAATTTTATGCATTCTGGCGTTCGTAGATACAAGAAAACTGTTAAAATTCTTCAGAAACGTCACTTTTGAAGTGTTTTCTTGTACTTTTAAGCCAATCAGATACCCTACGGGCTCGGAAAGTGCAACGAAACCATCAAATTTTAGCTAGAAACTGTATTTTTGTCGATTTTTATTGAATTTGAACTATATTTCAACGTTTTTTGATGGTTCTGAGCCACCAAACACACTTAAAGCATGCAGAATCGACTCAGAATAGGAAAAGGAGACGTTTAGGTCAATTTTATGCATTCTGGCGTTCGTAGATACAAGAAAACTGTTAAAATTCTTCAGAAACGTCACTTTTGAAGTGTTTTCTTGTACTTTTAAGCCAATCAGATACCCTACGGGCTCGGAAAGTGCAACGAAACCATCAAATTTTAGCTAGAAACTGTATTTTTGTCGATTTTTATTGAATTTGAACTATATTTCAACCTTTTTTGATGGTTCTGAGCCACCAAACACACTTAAAGCATGCAGAATCGACTCAGAATAGGAAAAGGAGACGTTTAGGTCAATTTTATGGATTCTGGCGTTCGTAGATACAAGAAAACTGTTAAAATTCTTCAGAAACGTCACTTTTGAAGTGTTTTCTTGTACTTTTAAGCCAATCAGATACCCTACGGGCTCGGAAAGTGCAACGAAACCATCAAATTTTAGCTAGAAACTGTATTTTTGTCGATTTTTATTGAATTTGAACTATATTTCAACGTTTTTTGATGGTTCTGAGCCACCAAACACACTTAAAGCATGCAGAATCGACTCAGAATAGGAAAAGGAGACGTTTAGGTCAATTTTATGCATTCTGGCGTTCGTAGATACAAGAAAACTGTTAAAATTCTTCAGAAACGTCACTTTTGAAGTGTTTTCTTGTACTTTTAAGCCAATCAGATACCCTACGGGCTCGGAAAGTGCAACGAAACCATCAAATTTTAGCTAGAAACTGTATTTTTGTCGATTTTTATTGAATTTGAACTATATTTCAAGGTTTTTTGATGGTTCTGAGCCACCAAACACACTTAAAGCATGCAGAATCGACTCAGAATAGGAAAATGAGACGTTTAGGTCAATTTTATGCATTCTGGCGTTCGTAGATACAAGAAAACTGTTAAAATTCTTCAGAAACGTCACTTTTGAAGTGTTTTCTTGTACTTTTAAGCCAATCAGATACCCTACGGGCTCGGAAAGTGCAACGAAACCATCAAATTTTAGCTAGAAACTGTATTTTTGTCGATTTTTATTGAATTTGAACTATATTTCAACGTTTTTTGATGGTTCTGAGCCACCAAACACACTTAAAGCATGCAGAATCGACTCAGAATAGGAAAAGGAGACGTTTAGGTCAATTTTATGCATTCTGGCGTTCGTAGATACAAGAAAACTGTTAAAATTCTTCAGAAACGTCACTTTTGAAGTGTTTTCTTGTACTTTTAAGCCAATCAGATACCCAACGGGCTCGGAAAGTGCAACGAAACCATCAAATTTTAGCTAGAAACTGTATTTTTGTCGATTTTTATTGAATTTGAACTATATTTCAACGTTTTTTTGATGGTTCTGAGCCACCAAACACACTTAAAGCATGCAGAATCGACTCAGAATAGGAGAAGGAGACGTTTAGGTCAATTTTATGCATTCTGGCGTTCGTAGATACAAGAAAACTGTTAAAATTCTTCAGAAACGTCACTTTTGAAGTGTTTTCTTGTACTTTTAAGCCAATCAGAAACCCTACGGGCTCGGAAAGTGCAACGAAACCATCAAATTTTAGCTAGAAACTGTATTTTTGTCGATTTTTATTGAATTTGAACTATATTTCAACGTTTTTTGATGGTTCTGAGCCACCAAACACACTTAAAGCATGCAGAATCGACTCAGAATAGGAAAAGGAGACGTTTAGGTCAATTTTATGCATTCTGGCGTTCGTAGATACAAGAAAACTGTTAAAATTCTTCAGAAACGTCACTTTTGAAGTGTTTTCTTGTAATTTTAAGCCAATCAGATACCCTACGGGCTCGGAAAGTGCAACGAAACCATCAAATTTTAGCTAGAAACTGTATTTTTGTCGATTTTTATTGAATTTGAACTATATTTCAACGTTTTTTGGTGGTTCTGAGCCACCAAACACACTTAAAGCATGCAGAATCGACTCAGAATAGGAAAAGGAGACGTTTAGGTCAATTTTATGCATTCTGGCGTTCGTAGATACAAGAAAACTGTTAAAATTCTTCAGAAACGTCACTTTTGAAGTGTTTTCTTGTACTTTTAAGCCAATCAGATACCCTACGGGCTCGGAAAGTGCAACGAAACCATCAAATTTTAGCTAGAAACTGTATTTTTGTCGATTTTTATTGAATTTGAACTATATTTCAACGTTTTTTGATGGTTCTGAGCCACCAAACACACTTAAAGCATGCAGAATCGACTCAGAATAGGAAAAGGAGACGTTTAGGTCAATTTTATGCATTCTGGCGTTCGTAGATACAAGAAAACTGTTAAAATTCTTCAGAAACGTCACTTTTGAAGTGTTTTCTTGTACTTTTAAGCCAATCAGATACCCTACGGGCTCGGAAAGTGCAACGAAACCATCAAATTTTAGCTAGAAACTGTATTTTTGTCGATGTTTATTGAATTTGAACTATATTTCAACGTTTTTTGATGGTTCTGAGCCACCAAACACACTTAAAGCATGCAGAATCGACTCAGAATAGGAAAAGGAGACGTTTAGGTCAATTTTATGCATTCTGGCGTTCGTAGATACAAGAAAACTGTTAAAATTCTTCAGAAACGTCACTTTTGAAGTGTTTTCTTGTACTTTTAAGCCAATCAGATACCCTACGGGCTCGGAAAGTGCAACGAAACCATCAAATTTTAGCTAGAAACTGTATTTTTGTCGATTTTTATTGAATTTGAACTATATTTCAACGTTTTTTGATGGTTCTGAGCCACCAAACACACTTAAAGCATGCAGAATCGACTCAGAATAGGAAAAGGAGACGTTTAGGTCAATTTTATGCATTCTGGCGTTCGTAGATACAAGAAAACTGTTAAAATTCTTCAGAAACGTCACTTTTGAAGTGTTTTCTTGTACTTTTAAGCCAATCAGATACCCTACGGGCTCGGAAAGTGCAACGAAACCATCAAATTTTAGCTAGAAACTGTATTTTTGTCGACTTTTATTGAATTTGAACTACATTTCAACGTTTTTTGATGGTTCTGAGCCACCAAACACACTTAAAGCATGCAGAATCGACTCAGAATAGGAAAAGGAGACGTTTAGGTCAATTTTATGCATTCTGGCGTTCGTAGATACAAGAAAACTGTTAAAATTCTTCAGAAACGTCACTTTTGAAGTGTTTTCTTGTACTTTTAAGCCAATCAGATACCCTACGGGCTCGGAAAGTGCAACGAAACCATCAAATTTTAGCTAGAAACTGTATTTTTGTCGATTTTTATTGAATTTGAACTATATTTCAAAGTTTTTTGACGGTTCTGAGCCACCAAACACACTTAAAGCATGCAGAATCGACTCAGAATAGGAAAAGGAGACGTTTAGGTCAATTTTATGCATTCTGGCGTTCGTAGATACAAGAAAACTGTTAAAATTCTTCAGAAACGTCACTTTTGAAGTGTTTTCTTGTACTTTTAAGCCAATCAGATACCCAACGGGCTCGGAAAGTGCAACGAAACCATCAAATTTTAGCTAGAAACTGTATTTTTGTCGATTTTTATTGAATTTGAACTATATTTCAACGTTTTTTGATGGTTCTGAGCCACCAAACACACTTAAAGCATGCAGAATCGACTCAGAATAGGAAAAGGAGACGTTTAGGTCAATTTTATGCATTCTGGCGTTCGTAGATACAAGAAAACTGTTAAAATTCTTCAGAAACGTCACTTTTGAAGTGTTTTCTTGTACTTTTAAGCCAATCAGATACCCTACGGGCTCGGAAAGTGCAACGAAACCATCAAATTTTAGCTAGAAACTGTATTTTTGTCGATTTTTATTGAATTTGAACTATATTTCAACGTTTTTTGATGGTTCTGAGCCACCAAACACACTTAAAGCATGCAGAATCGACTCAGAATAGGAAAAGGAGACGTTTAGGTCAATTTTATGCATTCTGGCGTTCGTAGATACAAGAAAACTGTTAAAATTCTTCAGAAACGTCACTTTTGAAGTGTTTTCTTGTACTTTTAAGCCAATCAGATACCCTACGGGCTCGGAAAGTGCAACGAAACCATCAAATTTTAGCTAGAAACTGTATTTTTGTCGATTTTTATTGAATTTGAACTATATTTCAACGTTTTTTGATGGTTCTGAGCCACCAAACACACTTAAAGCATGCAGAATCGACTCAGAATAGGAAAAGGAGACGTTTAGGTCAATTTTATGCATTCTGGCGTTCGTAGATACAAGAAAACTGTTAAAATTCTTCAGAAACGTCACTTTTGAAGTGTTTTCTTGTACTTTTAAGCCAATCAGATACCCTACGGGCTCGGAAAGTGCAACGAAACCATGAAATTTTAGCTAGAAACTGTATTTTTGTCGATTTTTATTGAATTTGAACTATAACCCAAAAATAATTTGTTGAAGGTGCCCTCTTTCGATGTCGATGTGTTCTCCGATATATCTTCCGATGGCATAAACGATACAAACGAGTGGAAAAAAAAAGTACACTATAAAACATCACGCGATAAGAGTGTCCAAAACCGATCCGGCCAAAAAACTAATAAACAGCAGAAAATTCCGAAGGATAACAATAATAAATCCGTTTTAGACCCAAAGGTTATCCCGTTTATTCCATCTAATCCATCATTAAACGTAGCATCGTCGAACATGGAAAAAAATGAAAAAAATGAAGAAATATCTTCTCACAACGCCCTAAATGATGCCGAAGGTTTTCAAACTGTTGTCTCAAGAAAGAAAAAGCGTAACTTCATTCGAGGTAAAGCTTCTGCTACAAATGAAAATGATACGTTGATAAAGGCTGTGCCGCGAAATGGGTATATCTATGTCGGTAATTTACATCCAAACACGTCTGATAACGATTTGAAGCTATTCTTAAAGTCTAAATTCTCTGATAAAGAAATTAGTGTTGACAAACTTCCTAAGAGGCCTACTGCCAAAAGCGTGTCATTCAAAATCACAGTGGAGAAAACAATTTTTAAGGATTTCTTCAAGGAGGAATTATGGCCGGAAGGAATTTTAGTGAAAAAATTTTACTTCTTAAAAAACGAAAAAGTGAATACGTCCCTAATGAATTAATAGAAAATTTCTGTTTCAAAGGGGCCAGTTTTCGAATTTTATTTTTAAACATACAGTGCATTAGAAACAAATTTAATATGCTTTTTTCAGAAGTGGAAATTCTAAAAATAAATTGTATCTGCCTTTGTGAACATTGGTTGAACCATATCGAAATCGATAATATTCATGTGCCCGATTTCAACACGGCAGCATTTTTTGCGCGGTCTTCAAAGAAGCATGGAGGAGTCATGCAGCTGATGCACCAAAGTATCCCCTTCAAGATTCTGTCTGATAAGGTATCAGCACTTTCTGCTGAGGTGGATTGCGAATTATGCGGCGTACTTATCACTAAGTTAGATTTAATTTTAATAACGGTTTATCGCTCGCCAAAAGGCGATTTTCATAAATTTATTGATACTATAGTCATTCTTCTTAATGAAATTCATTGCAAATCTAAATACGTCATAGTGGGTGGAGATTTTAACTTATTATTTGGCACTAATGATGCAAAAGCCAATTATTTTTGTAATCTTTTGTCTAGCTACGGCTTATATTCTACTGTCAGATTTAAAACGCGTTATAACAACACACTTGATAATGTGTTTACTAATATTAATTCAGATATGATAAATATAACACCTGCTAAACTTTATCAGTCGGACCATACTGGAATATGTGTAAATGTTACTCTAAAGGAAGCTGTATTCGATAACTCATTTATCCCTAAATATGTAAGGCCCATCTCACAGTTTGGGAAAATCATGTTTTTTAATTTATTACAACAAGTTGATTGGAGTTTCATTGATCAAAATTGCGACTTTAATGCGTCTGATTTGTTCTCGATCTTTATAGATACGCTACTATTGTATTATAATATCGCCTGTCCTGAGAAGAAACTATCGTGTAACAGATCCAAGGTCCATAATATAATTTGGTATACCCCTGATTTAAAAATCATGCGAGAAACTCTGCATCTAATATATAGTTCTTACAGATTATATGGGACTTTGGGTTTGAAAATAATATATAATAACTTTAAGCGTAAATATGAAGAAGCTGTTAAAAAAGCTAAAATTGCAGCTAATAATGTCTTTATTAAAAACAATTCTAATAATTCTAAAGCTATGTGGTCATTAATAAACAGAAGTAGAAAACGTACTATTCATGAAACTACAAAAATTTCCTCTAACGAATTCAATTTACATTTCTCGAGCATTGCTAAAAATATTCTTAATTCCTTACCAAATACTAATCTTGATCCTGTTAAAATTATGATATCTGTTAATAACACGTCACATATGTTCTTTAAATTCAGGACAGTTAGTGAGGTACAAGTACGTGAGGCATTGAATAAATTAAAAAATAAGAGCAGTAAAGATATTTATGGGTTCAATGTCGACGTTATAAAATCAGTAAAGGATATACTAATTGCACCTTTGACCAAATTAATAAATAAATGTATTGTTGACTCGGTTTTTCCAGACTGCTTAAAATTGGCTTTAGTATGTCCAATATACAAAAAAGGTAATGTCAATGAAGTTGATAACTATCGACCAATCTCCCTTCTTCCAGTGTTGTCTAAAGTGTTCGAAAAATTAATGTTAGAACAAATCCTTGAATTCTTTATTAGTAATAACTTGTTTTGTACAAATCAGTTTGGATTTCGAAAAGGCTTATCCACTGAAAAAGCTGTTCTATCTTTTATTGATAATGTCGTTAAATCCTTTCAAGATGGTGAATATTTTGTGTCTGCCTTTCTAGATCTTAGTAAGGCATTTGACTGCATGTCTCATGAAATACTAATCCGTAAACTTTTTTTTTACAACTTTCAGCCAGATGCCACTAGATTAATTTCATCGTATCTTTTGAATCGATTGCAAGTAGTCTCTGTTGATGGTATAGTCTCCGATAAAGAACAAATCGCGTATGGTGTACCTCAGGGGTCCATCTTAGGGCCTCTACTTTTCTTAATTTATGTGAACGATCTGCCATACTATTTCCCTGATTTTTTTACGATATTGTACGCGGACGATACTACTTTTAGTAAAAAGGCAATGTCATCTTCATTAGTAATAAGTACTCTTATGAATATATCTTCGCAAGCGGAACCTTGGTTTTTCGCCAACAAACTTTGCGTAAATAAGAACAAATCAGTTCAGATGGTATTTTCATTGAAGAAAGATAAGTCTTTTGCGGATACGAAAAGTACTAACAAGTTTCTCGGAATTGTTCTAGATACTAAATTACTTTGGCATGAACATGTGGATTATATTGTTCACATCATTTCTAAAAATACTTATCTCTTAAGAAACTTATCAAATCATGTTGATCAAAATATATTAAAAATTGCATATTATGCGCTAATACAATCTCACTTAGTATATGGTATACTAATCTGGGGACACAGCGCCTCGTCACAAAACCTTTTTAGGCTTCAAAGAAGAGCTATTAGAATCCTTTCAGGTATTGGTTATCGTAATGATTGCAAATTTTCATTTCAATCCTTAAATATTTTGACATTGCCCTGCTTGTACATCTATCACTGTTTTAAATTTTTAGTAAACCAAATTAATCAATTTCCTACACTGAGTTCTTTCCATGACTATAATACCAGGTCCACAAATTTGTTAATCGAAAATTTGAGAATAAACCGTTGCAGAACTGCCAGGAACTATTTCTGTATAGTGTTCTTTAACAAATTACCTCAGAGTTTCCGCAACCTTCCACCATCTCAATTTCTAAAAAAAATCAAGGATGTCTTAACCGAAAATAGTTTTTATAGTTTCAATGAATATTTTCAATATAATTTTGAGTAATTTCTTGTTTATCATGTAGCTAGCTCATAATCTACATAAGTATTGTATTGCATGGTTTTTATGTTTATTTTTACTATTACATTCTTGTAAACTTTGGACGAGTGTATAAACTTTATGTTTTTAGCACAATAAAATTACTTACTTACTTACTTACTTACTATATTTCAACGTTTTTTGATGGTTCTGAGCCACCAAACACACTTAAAGCATGCAGAATCGACTCAGAATAGGAAAAGGAGACGTTTAGGTCAATTTTATGCATTCTGGCGTTCGTAGATACAAGAAAACTGTTAAAATTCTTCAGAAACGTCACTTTTGAAGTGTTTTCTTGTACTTTTAAGCCAATCAGATACCCTACGGCCTCGGAAAGTGCAACGAAACCATCAAATTTTAGCTAGAAACTGTATTTTTGTCGATTTTTATTGAATTTGAACTATATTTCAACGTTTTTTGATGGTTCTGAGCCACCAAACTCACTTAAAGCATGCAGAATCGACTCAGAATAGGAAAAGGAGACGTTTAGGTCAATTTTATGCATTCTGGCGTTCGTAGATACAAGAAAACTGTTAAAATTCTTCAGAAACGTCACTTTTGAAGTGTTTTCTTGTACTTTTAAGCCAATCAGATACCCTACGGGCTCGGAAAGTGCAACGAAACCATCAAATTTTAGCTAGAAACTGTATTTTTGTCGATTTTTATTGAATTTGAACTATATTTCAACGTTTTTTGATGGTTCTGAGCCACCAAACACACTTAAAGCATGCAGAATCGACTCAGAATAGGAAAAGGAGACGTTTAGGTCAATTTTATGCATTCTGGCGTTCGTAGATACAAGAAAACTGTTAAAATTCTTCAGAAACGTCACTTTTGAAGTGTTTTCTTGTACTTTTAAGCCAATCAGATACCCTACGGGCTCGGAAAGTGCAACGAAACCATCAAATTTTAGCTAGAAACTGTATTTTTGTCGATTTTTATTGAATTTGAACTATATTTCAACGTTTTTTGATGGTTCTGAGCCACCAAACACACTTAAAGCATGCAGAATCGACTCAGAATAGGAAAAGGAGACGTTTAGGTCAATTTTATGCATTCTGGCGTTCGTAGATACAAGAAAACTGTTAAAATTCTTCAGAAACGTCACTTTTGAAGTGTTTTCTTGTACTTTTAAGCCAATCAGATACCCTACGGGCTCGGAAAGTGCAACGAAACCATCAAATTTTAGCTAGAAACTGTATTTTTGTCGATTTTTATTGAATTTGAACTATATTTCAACGTTTGTTGATGGTTCTGAGCCACCAAACACACTTAAAGCATGCACAATCGACTCAGAATAGGAAAAGGAGACGTTTAGGTCAATTTTATGCATTCTGGCGTTCGTAGATACAAGAAAACTGTTAAAATTCTTCAGAAACGTCACTTTTGAAGTGTTTTCTTGTACTTTTAAGCCAATCAGATACCCTACGGGCTCGGAAAGTGCAACGAAACCATGAAATTTTAGCTAGAAACTGTATTTTTGTCGATTTTTATTGAATTTGAACTATATTTCAACGTTTTTTGATGGTTCTGAGCCACCAAACACACTTAAAGCATGCAGAATCGACTCAGAATAGGAAAAGGAGACGTTTAGGTCAATTTTATGCATTCTGGCGTTCGTAGATACAAGAAAACTGTTAAAATTCTTCAGAAACGTCACTTTTGAAGTGTTTTCTTGTACTTTTAAGCCAATCAGATACCCTACGGCCTCGGAAAGTGCAACGAAACCATCAAATTTTAGCTAGAAACTGTATTTTTGTCGATTTTTATTGAATTTGAACTATATTTCAACGTTTTTTGATGGTTCTGAGCCACCAAACACACTTAAAGCATGCAGAATCGACTCAGAATAGGAAAAGGAGACGTTTAGGTCAATTTTATGCATTCTGGCGTTCGTAGATACAAGAAAACTGTTAAAATTCTTCAGAAACGTCACTTTTGAAGTGTTTTCTTGTACTTTTAAGCCAATCAGATACCCTACGGGCTCGGAAAGTGCAACGAAACCATCAAATTTTAGCTAGAAACTGTATTTTTGTCGATTTTTATTGAATTTGAACTATATTTCAACGTTTTTTGATGGTTCTGAGCCACCAAACACACTTAAAGCATGCAGAATCGACTCAGAATAGGAAAAGGAGACGTTTAGGTCAATTTTATGCATTCTGGCGTTCGTAGATACAAGAAAACTGTTAAAATTCTTCAGAAACGTCACTTTTGAAGTGTTTTCTTGTACTTTTAAGCCAATCAGATACCCTACGGGCTCGGAAAGTGCAACGAAACCATCAAATTTTAGCTAGAAACTGTATTTTTGTCGATTTTTATTGAATTTGAACTACATTTCAACGTTTTTTGATGGTTCTGAGCCACCAAACACACTTAAAGCATGCAGAATCGACTCAGAATAGGAAAAGGAAACGTTTAGGTCAATTTTATGCATTCTGGCGTTCGTAGATACAAGAAAACTGTTAAAATTCTTCAGAAACGTCACTTTTGAAGTGTTTTCTTGTACTTTTAAGCCAATCAGATACCCTACGGGCTCGGAAAGTGCAACGAAACCATCAAATTTTAGCTAGAAACTGTATTTTTGTCGATTTTTATTGAATTTGAACTATATTTCAACGTTTTTTGATGGTTCTGAGCCACCAAACACACTTAAAGCATGCAGAATCGACTCAGAATAGGAAAAGGAGACGTTTAGGTCAATTTTATGCATTCTGGCGTTCGTAGATACAAGAAAACTGTTAAAATTCTTCAGAAACGTCACTTTTGAAGTGATTTCTTGTACTTTTAAGCCAATCAGATACCCTACGGGCTCGGAAAGTGCAACGAAACCATCAAATTTTAGCTAGAAACTGTATTTTTGTCGATTTTTATTGAATTTGAACTATATTTCACGTTTTTTGATGGTTCTGAGCCACCAAACACACTTAAAGCATGCAGAATCGACTCAGAATAGGAAAAGGAGACGTTTAGGTCAATTTTATGCATTCTGGCGTTCGTAGATACAAGAAAACTGTTAAAATTCTTCAGAAACGTCACTTTTGAAGTGTTTTCTTGTACTTTTAAGCCAATCAGATACCCTACGGGCTCGGAAAGTGCAACGAAACCATCAAATTTTAGCTAGAAACTGTATTTTTGTCGATTTTTATTGAATTTGAACTATATTTCAACGTTTTTTGATGGTTCTGAGCCACCAAACACACTTAAAGCATGCAGAATCGACTCAGAATAGGAAAAGGAGACGTTTAGGTCAATTTTATGCATTCTGGCGTTCGTGGATACAAGAAAACTGTTAAAGTTCTTCAGAAACGTCACTTTTGAAGTGTTTTCTTGTACTTTTAAGCCAATCAGATACCCTACGAGCTCGGAAAGTGCAACGAAACCATCAAATTTTAGCTAGAAACTGTATTTTTGTCGATTTTTATTGAATTTGAACTATATTTCAACGTTTTTTGATGGTTCTGAGCCACCAAACACACTTAAAGCATGCAGAATCGACTCAGAATAGGAAAAGGAGACGTTTAGGTCAATTTTATGCATTCTGGCGTTCGTAGATACAAGAAAACTGTTAAAATTCTTCAGAAACGTCACTTTTGAAGTGTTTTCTTGTACTTTTAAGCCAATCAGATACCCAACGGGCTCGGAAAGTGCAACGAAACCATCAAATTTTAGCTAGAAACTGTATTTTTGTCGATTTTTATTGAATTTGAACTATATTTCAACGTTTTTTGATGGTTCTGAGCCACCAAACACACTTAAAGCATGCAGAATCGACTCAGAATAGGAAAAGGAGACGTTTAGGTCAATTTTATGCATTCTGGCGTTCGTAGATACAAGAAAACTGTTAAAATTCTTCAGAAACGTCACTTTTGAAGTGTTTTCTTGTACTTTTTTCTTCAGAAACGTCACTTTTGAAGTGTTTTCTTGTACTTTTAAGCCAATCAGATACCCTACGGGCTCGGAAAGTGCAACGAAACCATCAAATTTTAGCTAGAAACTGTATTTTTGTCGATTTTTATTGAATTTGAACTATATTTCACGTTTTTTGATGGTTCTGAGCCACCAAACACACTTAAAGCATGCAGAATCGACTCAGAATAGGAAAAGGAGACGTTTAGGTCAATTTTATGCATTCTGGCGTTCGTAGATACAAGAAAACTGTTAAAATTCTTCAGAAACGTCACTTTTGAAGTGTTTTCTTGTACTTTTAAGCCAATCAGATACCCTACGGGCTCGGAAAGTGCAACGAAACCATCAAATTTTAGCTAGAAACTGTATTTTTGTCGATTTTTATTGAATTTGAACTATATTTC